ACACTAAATTGCAAATAAATTTGTTTAAATATGCAATGGCAGGGCGCGTCAAGTTTGCCACAACCCCCATAAACGAATGGCCAAAAGCTGCTGCGCTAGTCTGCGACATTTTCACCTGGCCGAAGGGTGAAGGGTGGAGTGGAACATTTGGGGATGTCATAGGTTGGCATGACCGGGTGGCTAGGTAACCACCAACCCACTGGTGGAGGTGTCCACTGCCTGCTGCACGTACAGCTGCGACAACGAGGCAACAACATGCGCATCAAATTTTAATAGCAAAACCCCCAAAAAGTTTCAAGCCACAAAGTCCATTTCCATTGGACTGAACTGAAGGGGTTGGGCTGCCCTCATTGCGGATGGCTCCCAAACGTTGTTGTTGGCTTTGTGTGACATGCTTGATGTACGCTTTTGGTTTTGCCCACGAAGATGTTGCAATGACATTGAATATTGATGAAAATAAATCGAATTTCCGTCAGCCCGGCATCCGATAGACGGCGAAGGGGAAAAAAATAGACTGGACACATTTCCTCCACATTCTCTCTCACTGGTAGCCGGATTTTCTATTGAGACAGCAAAAGGGTTCCGCCTGAACTGAGCTCGACGCAGTCAGCTGGCGAGTGTTAAAATCCCACGTTGTCAGTGCTTTCGGGGGTATTTGTGGTTTCTCCTAGTTTCAATTTTTACTTTAGTCGGCTTGCACTACAGGAATTGAAGAGTGTTCTTTGAAAATGTCTGAAATTAACATTTGACCTTACCTTAAAAAAGTTAAACAGTAAAGCTTGTTGTGCTATTCTAGGTGTAAATCCTGGAATCCTTGTTACATATTTATTGTTAAATGAATGTCTAAGTTTTATTTTCTAGAAGACTTAGTCAGTCACGATTGGTTTACAGCTTAAAGCCCTTATAATAATTAGAAAACTCTTTACGGTTTTATTTTCAAATTTCGTTCATACGATAAAAACAGCACACCAAAAAATGAATCCCATAAAGTCCAGCAAAAAGCATCGAATGAAATTATCAACCATTTTTTCCCGTAAGCTTTAACCAATTTAAATTCTCAAATAAAAAGGCAAACGAGAGCTCGTTTTTTATTTCCTGTTTGGTGTCCAACCCACAATTAAGCCCCCAGTTAACACTTGATTTGTATTTAAAAATTATTGACCAATCCATGGGTACTGATTAAGTTTGTGTTTGTGCTTGTCAAACGATGGACGACTGCTGTTTGGGGGAGGGGCACCGATTGATTTCTGCCGCCACAAGGCAACGGTGGGTATCGGAAATTGCATAAACTCAGTCCGAAAGAGACGGGGACAGGCAGAGAGAAAGAGAGATCCGGGGAGGCAGTGCAGCACATATGAAAATCCAATTTTCCAGTGATTGATCAGGGCGATGGGGGGAACTGAAGAGCTGGCCACATATGTGAGGTGGGGAAAGTTTGTTTGCCGGGCGTGTACGCAAAAATAATGTAATTAAAGCAATGTTTGCATAATAAAAATTAATATTTGTTGCAGTTGTGTCGCCATTTCTTCGGACGGTGAAGAGGAGAAAATCCGGGGGGTAATGCATTCAGCCGGCCCTTTCAATGAGTGTTTACCTAGGCAGCGAGCACCAGAGTCCTTTGCTCGCTTTATGCGGGCTGTCAAAATCAGACAGTGTGCACACATGCACCCACACCTCGTCGACATCCCATAGATTTCCTGCTGGTGTTGTCCACGCTGAAGAGCATCCTCTCGCCATCCTCCCGAGTCTCGACTGTTTGTCCAAGTTTCGTTTCACCAAATTATGCCCGAGCATATGAGGGATTTATATCCGCTCTAGGACTCAACTGGACTGCAAACCACTCGACTCAAATCGACTCGGTTGTCCTGTCTGCCGGTTGTCTGCTGAATTTATGCAAATATTGAAATAAGTCTTAATTAAATACAAATACTCAATTACATTGCGGCAAATCTATTTTGTGGGTCCGGCGCAAACAAACTTCACTGCGGACTGTACATTGTCAACAGTTTTACCTTACAATTTTAATTCGTTTGGAAAGTAAAATAAATAACTTGAAAGTAAATAAAAAAATGATCATGGCCCATGAGGGGATCGAACCCGCGACCTTCGCGTTATTAGCACGACGCTCTAACCAACTGAGCTAATGGGCCTACATGACGCCATCTTGATTTTTAGGCTTATTTAAATTATGGATTTAATATTTATTTATTTACCCATTAACGACGCAATATAAAATCCAACGAATAATAAGAATACATTTGAAATTAATCTAAATTAAAAAAAAAATTGGCCCATGAGGGGATCGAACCCGCGACCTTCGCGTTATTAGCACGACGCTCTAACCAACTGAGCTAATGGGCCTACATGACGCCATCTTGATTTATAAACCTGTTTGAAATAAAATTTTAATTCTAACTTGCTTAATTATTTATCTATTGGCGACAGCGGTTTAACTAAAAATATAATCCAACATATAATACATATAAAATTGATCTTCATCTTTTTGATTAAAATGCAAGAAAAAAACGATGTGGCCCATGAGGGGATCGAACCCGCGACCTTCGCGTTATTAGCACGACGCTCTAACCAACTGAGCTAATGGGCCTTCGTGACGCTGGCATTCTCGGTGACTGATTTGTAGCTCGCGGGGGTAGTTCTTCAGTTCAGATATTCTAGTCTTGAGGTATTTATAGATCAGTCCTTAAGAGGGGGTGCTAATATATTTTCTAATTACATTTAAATATATTTCTCCGCTTTTAGGTTTAAAAGTTCTGTTCATACTTTTTACGGTCAATTTTATAGTTATACCTACACTAAAACATATTTTAATTAAAATCCAATTTGAATTTATCTTTTTCTCTTTATGTAGACAATTTATTACGTGTCTATAATTAATTTACCACTGACTGTAGACGGCATTAATCGTATTTCTTTTGCGCTCCTGAGGGAGTAAAATGCTGCTCGACACCACATGCATCATCGCAAGCAACACATTTGTGACACTTCATTAAAAAGCAACATTACCAAAATCAATTAGAGACATTCCCCCATGCATTGCCATCGCCTAGACAGCCGGGATACAGAACAAAAGTACACATGTGTACACACGGAGAGCGGGTAAGTTTGTTGTTTTTGGCAAACAAATACGCCAACAATTGAGATACGTTTTGTATTTGTTGCTGCCAGTATATCCTTTCCCCTCCCCTTTGTCCACCGGCGCCGATCCGCAAATTGTTTGAGCACGAGACGAGACTTTGTTTGCATTTTGAATTGCCGCCACCGAGAGCCACGAGCTGGAGCTATTTGAACTGAGATACACTGAGCGAAAGTAGTAGGCGTTAGACGCTTACCTCTCAAAATTTAACTAACCTTCGGTAAAAATTATAAAAATACGTTTAAGATGAATACAATTTGTGTTTTAAATAAAACAATACAATTTATAATATAAAAACAGGATTTCGGCGTTCCGAGATTTCAAAACATAATTTGTGTTTCATACGTTTTGAATACCACATTTCCTGTCACTTTTCACCGGAGAAGGCAATAATTCCCCACATCCCCCTCCGTTCATCCGCGTATGGATTTCAAATAGAATTCAGTGTTCTGAAACAAAAACAAAACAAGAGAGAACGCTGTACTCGGGTTGGTGTCCCGACTATAATCGTAACTCATCTAAAGGGAGTGCGAGGGAGATAGATATATAAATTTTGATTTTAATGAATGGTCCGATTTAAAAAATGTCTTCTACATTTCGATAGGTATAAATATACACAACAAAATTGCATTTATACTTATCGGAAAGCTTTAAAGATGTGGCGCAGGACCCATTTTAAAATCGTTAGTGGGCGTTAGAGGGCGTGGGGCTCGGCTTGCACTGCGTAGGAAGCCAAAGAATATGTGTGGGAAATCTCAACATTCTAGCTTTTGTATTTTCCGAGATCTCAGCGTTCATACAGACGGAGAGACGGACAGACGGCCATGGCTAGATCGACTCGGCTAGTGACCCTGATCAAGAATATATAGGGGAGAGTGGGGGAATTTCGTCACAGGGGCAATTTCGTCACCTGCAATATCTCGGAATCCATAAGTCGTAAAAATATATAATTTTTTTTTTTTGTTTTAGTCCTTTAAGACGGCCAGACACAACCAATGCATTTGTTTTGCACAGAAGGCCAAGATAATTAAGCTATAATATTAAATGTGTTTTAACAGTTCAAAAGCTACATTTAGTTCTCGACGAAATTTTTTCTGTATGCCACAATTCAAAAGGAATAAGATACACGATTTTTTATATAATACACAGGTCTATAATGTGCATTTCTGCGTCAGTGATTTTTAACTTCACGCCTAATTTCGCAAGAAAAATAATTATTTCTAAAAAAGTACGGTCTGGGGAAATTTCGCCACCCTACGCTAAGGGTAAATTCGCACCTATTTTAAATACAAATACAATATAGGACGTCAACAAAAATGGTACGCTTGATCAGTGTAGCATATTTTTAGGCGTTAAACTCCCAACATTTTTCAGGTGACGAAATTTCCCCAGTTTTGTGGTGATTTTACCCCCCTGTGTGGTGAGATTGCCCCAGTATATTGGTTTTACATTTTATTTTTTTATAAATCACCGAGCTAATTAAAAAAATAGGGGAATGTCACATTTTAAAGCTTGGTGCTAACCGCATTCAACAATAAAAATAGAAATATGATAACGTGTCTCAAGATGGACAAAAAATAGCTTTGAAAAAATGCTGACGAAATTCCCCTATCTCCCCTATACTTTATGGGGTCGGAAACGCTTCCTTCTAGCTGTTACATACTTTTGCACGAGTACAATATACCCTTTTACTCTACGAGTAATGGGTATAATAACTTTGAGGGCCGTTCTCTCATTATGTTAAACTAAAATTAGAAGTATACCATTTTTTTCTTAGTGTAGAAACCCCATAGGAGACGCACAAGCACACAAGGACTTGTTAAATCGAAAATTAATTAAAAACGTGTTGCCGTGAACATGGTTTAATCGAACTTAAAGCGAGCCTACAAAGAACGTGTTTTGCACTCCCCATTGACATGCTGATCTAGTTCTCCGTTTTGGCAGATGACGTATTGGGCACCACTTTATGAAGCCACTTGCGGATATATTCGCTGGTCTGAAGGCCAACCATACGATTAACCACCTTGCCATTGCTGATAACCACCAGGGATGGAACGGATCCCACGTTGTAGTCCATGGCCAGTTCGCCGTGCTCATCAATATCGACGCGGGCAAGCCTCACCCGACCGCCCTGCTCGGACACGATGTTCTCCAGTCGAGGGGCCAGAGCCTTGCAAGGACAGCACCAGCTAGTCAATGAGAAAAAATGAATCAAGATCAGGGCTCACCCTTGTTGGCTGACGAGCTCACCTGGCATGGAAATCCACAACCACCGGTCGGTCACTATTAATCACTCGCTGCTCAAAGTCCTTTCTGGTCTCCACATCGAAGATCGGTTGCCTGCCTGTGCTGGTCATTCCGCGGTTTGCCTTGAGCAGGTTCATCAGACGCTCTGCGCGGTATAACCTCCTATAGCTCGACATAATCACGAGAAGGAATTTAATTTAAGCCGAAATAAATGAAGACTTTTTCAAACGAATTTTGATCTAAAAATTGTTAAGGCTGCTGGGTGCTAACGGCTCGAGTTTTCTGTATCAACTGGAGAATAATAATTACACTAAAAAACATGTTTGCATTAGGCTAAATTCAATGGCTGCTTGATCATTGAAAATGTAGAGAAACGTAGGAAGGTCGCTGTATTTATAAATAATAGTTATTATTATTATTATTTCTAAGAATAATTATGTTTAGATATTTTTTATTTTTTTGATTTTTGTCAATAGATTAAAAGCAACAAATTTATTTTCTTTAGAAAATCGAAAAAAAATTTTAAAAATACAAAATTAAAAAATTGAGCTTCCTAGTAATGTAAAAAGAAAATGGAAATCCGATCATTTTTGGCGGAGATACAGTGATCAAACAATCGCTTTTCCACCGATAGGTATATTAGCCCATAGTATGGGCTAAAAAAAAAGTGGATGTTATTTAAATGGCACTTAATAATGTACAAAAGGTTTGCATTAAATCCATCCAAAAGAAAAAGGAAAACATTTTAAAATTATCACAATTTTTTTTTACGTAAATAATAATAGATTATAATATAATTACTACGTCAGGTCAAATGATCAAGCGAAGACGGCAGTAAGTCGGTAGCAGTAGATCATTTCAAATTTGAATTTGATATTTAATCCACTAGAGGGTTAGTGCCCAAGACCGCCTCCAGACGGGTAAGGTTAAAAACACCGTTATTTTAGTCTTTTCATTCCTTTTGACTCGGTTTTGCGTTTTTTCTAATTCGGGGAAGTCCAAAAATTAAGTTCGTTGCGTTTGGAATACATACTAGAGCTTGCGCAAGCTGCTGTAGTCATTTCAAGCAGAAAATTTGTGCAACTCGGACGAAATAACACCAGTTTCCAAAAAAAAATCGACGAAATATACCATGAATAAAACCTTTGTTCGGTTTTTAGGCGTGTATTTTTAACGAAGCCATTTATGGCAGCATTTTTGCATTTTTTCTATCTTTTTCAACTTTGACGAAATGTAGCTTCTAAACTAATGAATGGAACTCAATGCAATAAGAAAGTTGGAGGGCATTCTATTACCTGTAAAATGAGTCATTTATGGTTGAAATCGGTTAACCACAACTCAACTTAGAAATTAAAAAAGTGTCAAAAACGTTTTTTACACTTAAAAAAAATTTTATCCATAAAAAAAATTTTAAGTGCCATTTTCTTAATTAGGAAGACGTACCTTACCGGAAAACAAAGGTTTCATTCATCGTATATTTCATCGATTTTTTTTTGTAAACTAATGTAATTATTTGCAAATTAAGTGCAAAATATAAATATTTTTTTAAAATATTATAAAAAGTTTGTTGCTGGAAAAAGAAATTGTACCGTATTGCTGATAGTCTCAAGGACTCAAAAAACGAAACCCACACTAAAAATAAGATTTCGTTAGCTTTCTATAGCTTTTATAATGTCTAGGCGGTCCAAAGATACAGTCCTATAAAACTCGATCCATGCAAAGTTTTTCTAAAACAAACATTCACTTTTGATACATAATGAATCCAAAAATAATTTTTTTTTTTGGAAAAGAAAATTTGGGCACTAGAGGGTTAAATTAAGTGCAAAATATAACCCATTGCACTATGGGAAAAAAGTCAATTTTTTTGGCATAAAATCAACTTATTTTACAAATTATTTTTAAAAATAAAATATATTTTGTGAATTTACATACCCTAATTAGCCAAGAACAGTTATCTAAGATTTTTTACTAGCAACACTATATGGTTGATAAACGAACAAAGTCACCTGTTTGATTGACTTTGTTGTGTGCGTAAATTAGTGAAAAATCTTTGCAAACTTTCAGTGCTTATTTTGTGGAGCAACAAAATGGTTTATTATTTCTGATCATGTCAAATCGTAGCAAAGGTATTTATAAATGTATCTTAGATTACATGTTTTGATTATTATGGCTTTTTGTCCAACTGTGAACTTTTTTAAATGTGTATCTTTTTAGCTTAAAACTAACAAGTTTGTTTGTACAACTTATAAATGACACAAAGTTGCAAAAAGGTAAAAACGTAAAGTTTTTACCAAATGTATCCTTAATATCGCAAAACTAATCATTTTTGCAACTTTTTGAACGTTTCTTAAAAAAAATGACTTAAATCCAGCAACTTAAAAACATAAAAAAAAAAATTTTTTAATAAAAAAAACAATCTAAGTGGCTTTCATTAATCTTAAAAATTGAATTCATGGAAAGGGACAAGTCAAGTGAAAATCCTGGTTGCAAAGGACTCAAATATAAAGAAGCTGGACCTCCGTTAAAGCTAAAATTGGCATCTGCTCTTAGATAATATTTCACTTTTCTTTTACATGTCACCAATTTTTTTTTTTTGACAAATTTTAAAAATTAACGTAAACCGAAATTATTTTACCGTCTTACCAATACAAATACAAATTTTTTAAAATCCCTGCCAATTAATTTGAATATGCGGCGTGGGCGGTGGATGAAAACAATGGTCCGATTCAAAAAGCAACAAAAACCGAAATTACAGCTTTATCTTAATAGTATATATACAAAATTTCTAAATTGTATCTCTAAAACTAGAGTTTATGCCAAAAAAATAGACTAGTGCATTGGTAAAAACAGAAAAATGTAGAAGAATTTACTTTTGTCCTCTTCTTTTGTCTTTTTAATTTTGTTGTCCTATTCTTCACTTTTTTTTTTTGGCTCATCTGTCTTGTTAGGTCTAACTATTAAAATAACTCAAACGTGTCTCAAGTGCTGCGAGTCTCAGAGCTTAATTCTAACGGTTTTTAAAAAATTTGCCTGTCACGTTTCACAAGGAATGAGCCTATGGTAAATAACACAGTGCAACATAAACAAGAGAGAACGCTATAGTCGGGTTCGTGTCCCGACTATCTAATACCCGTGACTCGGCTAAAGGGAGTGCGAGGGAGATGGATATATATTTTTGGATTGCGTATAACTTTTTAATGAATGGTCCGATTTGAAAAATGTCTTCTACATTTCGATAGGTATAAATATACACAACAAAATTGCATTTATACTTCTCGGGAATCTTTAAAGGTGTGGCCGCCAGACACATTTTTAAATCGTTAGTGGGCGATTGTGGGCGTTAGAGGGGGCGTGGCACTCGGCTGAAATAAACTTGCGCTGCGTAGGAAGCCCAAGAATATGTGTGGAAAATCTCAACCTTCTAGCTTTTGTAGTTTCTGAGATCTCAGCGTTCATACGGACAGACAGACAGACAGACAGACAGACGGACAGACAGACGGACAGACGGACATGGCCATATCGACTCGGCTAGTGACCCTGATCAAGAATATATATACTTTATGGGGTCGGAAACGCTTCCTTCTAGCTGTTACATACTTTTGCACGAATACAATATACCCTTTTACTCTACGAGTAACGGGTATAAAAATGTAACCGCAATTTAGATTTCATGGGCGGAAAGTACTCATCGAAATTAGCTAAAACCCATTTGGGTTTCTCTGGCTTAGCTCGCGGTTTTATCTTGTGAACCGATTAAAATTTCACTTTGGAGTCCTTAGCGATTATGTAGCTATGAACCCAAGGCACTAAATTGACAAATCACTCTTGAGAAGAGGTTTACCCAGCGCGTTAAAAATCGAATAATGAGCAAACATGTTCGGTATCTAACCGTTAAACGGCCATATTTTACGATTTTAAAATGTTTCTGAATATAGCACTCTCTCTTGTTTTTAAATATACCCATATATGCGTATACTTTTGATCGTAATTTCCCTTCGAATATAAAAAAAATTATTTGTTTTTAGATTTTACCATATGGTACTATATTATTAAACTGCGTTTCACATTTACTCATATTATCAATAATTCGCTGCAGTTAATTTGAAGAAATAAGTAAAATGAAGTTGTAAGGGCCAGGATGCCAACAAGGTATACTAAACCGAAGGACAACTTCATTTCGCAGATTTCGCAGACTTTAGATACTTTAGACGTGCTTTATATATATATCACTGTGCAGCATTTTTACTGTTTTTTAAATTTACCTCGACGGACGCTATATTTTTGGATTCGTTACGAATTCCCTAGTTAAACTGCGTTTTCCAAAAAGTTCCCCGACGCAAGGATTCTTAGCAAAAGGACCTCTAAGTTCAAAAAAAGCTGAAATTGGCCAACTTTGCGGAGCTCTCAGAGGCAAATGCATGCATGGTCTGATTCGTTGTTAAAGTTTTTTAAAAGATACACTCTTTATCTTTTAAGCCCCATACTTAGAATAATTTTAGGATTCTTTTAAGGCAGAAATAAATTCCAGAAAACATAGTCAAAAAACTTTTAAACATACAACTGCGGTCAAAATAGTAGTAGTGTTGCCGCCTTGTGTTTTTAAAAGTTTGATGTTTTTCTAGCTTTTATATGTAGCTATTTTTTGACCCGGCTGCCAACACCAATTATTTTTGTTTACATGTCGCCGCCTATGATAAATCTTAAATTTGGACTCTGTCAACCGAAAAAAGTGGAAAAATCCGATCTTTAAAAATCCACCATAAATCCAGTTTTCCATGGATTTGGGCCATATCCGGCTTGTTTTATTGGATGTAAACTTTAAGTTTGTAACCATTATGATTTTTTAACGGATTTATTTCGAGTTTTTACGATATATACAGCCGACTTACAGTCGACCAAAAAACACATTTTTCATCTTTGTCAAGTTTCTGCGCTGCCATTACTTATCCAATCATATTGATCTGTATGGCAAAGTTAAGCTCTGATCTATTGACTTTAAAATAAAACTAAAACTGGCCCAATCGGGTGGATATCTGCCGAGATATAAGAAAAAATTCGAAAAAAGTCAGAATTTTAACATTTCGAACTTTAAAAAATCTTTAAAAAAAAAACTGTACCATCAAAAAAAAAATTAATGCTATTTTCGTGATCTAGGGGTCGATCACTAACCGAATTTGCCATCAATTGCTGGGGAGCACACCAAGAATATTATTTTGTAAACTAGTGTAATTAAACTAACCTTATTTATTTTTGCTGAAATCTACTCTCATACTTTCACAATTTCTCTTTTTTCGTTTACTTTTTATTTAAATTTTGGTCAGTAGATAAGCAGCAAAATAGTTATTGCGTTAATAATTTAAAACGGCTTAGAGACAGATAGCAAATGTTCAATTAGATTTGAGCGCGGTTTTCGTAATAGCACTTGTACAGCTGATAGCTGGTGTCGCACTTGTCGGCTCCCTGGATCGAGTCGCACTTGGCCTGCACCTCCTTGACTTTTGCCTCCCCGGCGATAGGACCAAGTTTGGCCAGAACTGCATCGGGCTTAATCTGACCGTTGGCCACCAGGCCACTTTGCTCCAGAAAACAGTTGGCGAAGCACTTGACCTTGGGATCGAAGTCCCCGAAGTTACCGGCCCTCAGGGAAATAGCCTGCTCCTTGGTGATTCCCTCCTGCTCGGCACAGGCCTTGGCCCTCTGCCTGACCTCGGCAATCTGGGCGGGCGAGAGTTCCTGTTGGGTTACAAAATGACAAGGATATAATCTCTATAAGGAACTTGGATCTCACGATAATTACTTACTACCGCAGCTGCGAAGGACAGGGCTGCGAAGGCGGCAAAAGCAATGAATACTTTCATGATGCTGATCGGGAGTTGCTTAGAATCTTTTGGAAACGAAACTGTTGGCTGGATGTAGCGAGCAGTCAGCATTTATACGATTTGAGATGATGGACTATAGACTCGAATTGGATTACCATATATAGTTAATGGTTGCCTTTCCTCGAACTTGGGTTCGTGGAGAAACCACATCGCCATGCTGACTTGCAGTTTTAATATTCTTGCCACGTTCGTATATCGTTTCAGGTTTTAATCAGCCAAGATAACGCTTTTGAAGACTTTGCAGTTTATTAATAATTTTCGTTGTGCTTTAAAGTGTCCTAAGTCAGCAGGGATTTGGCCACCCCAGCTTCTGGCTATGACCCACCACACACATTTGGGTCAAACTAGATCCCAAAAAACTGATAGCATTCACTCGCTGGCCTGGCCATATTTACTTGGGTTAAATGAATGATGACCCGCCCAGCCTCGGTTCGTTGTCTAAACATTTTTATCATTCAGGGTTAGAGATAGGATTCTTCTCCGTTGCCTGTGTCTTTACATAATCCCCACTGCTTACACAGGCATCAAGGCGTTTTAGCAATTAGTTTCTGTTTTTGCGAGCATTCAATGTGAGGCTAAGTAGCCCACAGTTTTCACAGTCCTGATGGGCTTCTGTGGGGCTTTGATGGATGATTGACAAGCCAGTGACAAGAGGACGAGCGTGTGATTGTGTGAGTGGGTGTCCAAAATGTGGGGTAATGCTAAACTTAAATGGGTTCGCATGTCATCAGTTAATGATCATTGTCGTGTGGCGTCGCTAAAAAACGAGAAGCATTAGGCAAAAGAGGAGAATATAGGATATTGATGTGAAAGTAATTATAACCACAGCTAAGTAGACAAATACTATTGTTTACCAGCCACAAAATAGAAACAAATCAACGAAGTTATTAATAAACAAAGTATACTATCATAATTAAGCTGCTTTCCTCATTTTTTGGCTACAAACACACCCCCATTAGTGTTAACAAGAAAGGAAGCTAGCTTCGGCCAGCCGAAGCTTATATACCCTTGCAGATCATTCCTATTAATTAACAAATCGCAAAAATGTTCAATTTTCTAATATTTCTCATTAATTTTCCGATCGTTCCTATGGCAGCTATATGATATAGTCGTCCGATTTTGATCAAATTAAAATTGAAATTCGGAAATATTTAAAAAGAGTCATATCCTAGAGTAGAAGATAATACAATAAAAACCAAGGAAGCTAGAATTTATTTCCTATTACTTTCCATTAATTTTCCGATCGTTCCTATGGCAGCTATATGATATAGTCGTCCGATTTTGATTAAATTAAAATTGAAATTCGAAAATATTTAAAAAGAGTCATATCTTAGAGTAGAAGATAATACAATAAAAACCAAAGAAGCTAGAATTTATTTCCTATAACTTTTCCATTAATTTTCCGATCGTTCCTATGGCAGCTATATGATATAGTCGTCCGATTTTGATTAAATTAAAATTGAAATTCGAAAATATTTAAAAAGAGTCATATCCTAGAGTAGAAGATAATACAATAAAAACCAAAGAAGCTAGAATTTATTTCCTATTACTTTTCCATTATTTTTCCGATCGTTCCTATGGCAGCTATATGATATAGTAGTCCGATTTTTTAAATAATTAATTCGAAATTCAGAAATATTTAAAAAATAACATCCCCAAAAGTAGAAGGTAATATTTCAAAAAACACCGAAGCTAGAATTTTTTAAAGTTTTTTTTCCGATTGTTCCTATGGGAGCTATAAGATATAGTTGTCCGATCCGGTCGGCTCCGACATATATACTACCTGCAATAGAAAGAAGACTTTTGCGAAAGTTTTGTCCCGATAGCTCAAAAACTGAGAGACTAGTTTGCGTAGAAACAGACAGACGGACAGACGGACAGACGGACAGACGGACAGACGGACAGACGGACGGACAGACGGACATGGCTAGATCGACTCGTCTTGTGATGCTGATCAAGAATATATATACTTTATGGGGTCGGAAACGTCTCCTTCACTGCGTTGCAAACTTCTGACTGAAATCATAATACCCTCTGCAAGGGTATAAAAAAGGGAAACCAGTACAAAATGCAAGAGAGTACCGCTTCGGCCACAAGAACAACGACTCACTTTTGTGTGTTATCGTTTCTAATTTGTTTCAAATTAAATGAGTTTTAAACATTTTGCCAGCCAAATACAATCATAAAGCGTTAAATATACTCTGAATGAAGCGAGTGTGGATGTGTTTTTTGGATGGGTGGACCAAAAGGATCTGGCTTCCGTTGTTGTTCTTGTTTTTGTTGGTGGGTGGTCGTCGGTCTCCTGTAAATGTAATTAAAAAACTTTTAAACCGCATCAACATAAATGTATGGCGCTGAAAATTCTGTGCATTTGACAATTTTCGGTTGGCAAAAAGTTGACATTTTGCGCTCCTGTGTTTGTGGCCAAGTGTGTGTATGCAAAAAGTATCCACCAAAACATGTCAGACTCGCCCCAATATCCCAGTCCATCAACTTTAAGCGGTGGCCATTTGTATTTGAGTTTAATGAAAAGCTTTTTAAAGTTATTAGCTTTCATAAATAAATGTCAGTGGAAGGCATTTATTGACGACGACCGGCATCCATTTAATGGGTTTATCATTTTTACGAGCCACTCTTTTCGGCCATTTCATTTATTTTAATTGAACCCCCGAAAGACTTTCCATTTAATTGCTTTTAAATAGCCGGCCAAACACCTTAATAAACCATTAAGTCTTGCCCCAAACCCTGACCAGAAATGGGCGAAAAGGTTTAGTTCTGCAATATGTGCAGGTAATAAACATTTGCAGCCGGAATGCCATTCCGGGCATTTCAAGTGATAACGCTAAATTGCTTGGCCATAAATTCAACACTCTCCATAATTTTTAAGTGTGAAATTTATTCAATTCGATATTGAGGAATGCCTTAGTGCAAAATAATCAAATGACATCCCATTAATTGTCCGGTGGATCTTATTTATGATTGTAATGTCACCCCCGAAAAGAATCTTTTTGGTCTCCAGGCCCCGAGCTCCATAATTTTCCATTAGCTTTATTATTTACTCATTTGCGAAAATGTCTTATATCATTGTTATTAGTAAATCTTTTGCCACAGTTTATTGCCTGCCCCCTGATATGTGGGAGGGTTTGAAACAGAATCATCAGTATGAGAACAATTCCCTTGGGGTTTCTTGCCTTTGGGGGCAAGTTCATTGAACTCGCCCCAAAATATTTGGGGATAGTTTCCAGAGAAAATCAAAACGGTGGTAGCTTGGAAAATAACTAAGGGTTGTTCGTACCTTGGATCGCTATTTAAGATTATTTATACGCTGGTAATTATTGCCATAAAGGGCAAACTTGCTGTAAATAGTAATAAAATGTTTCCTATATAGATTTCTGTAAATTAATTGGTTAAACTTCATTGAATAATATTTATCATGGGTATATTGCATTTTGTTTTAATATTTGTTTTGTATAATAACAAATATTTAACGAAACATTATTTTATTTATTTTTAACTTATACATATAAAGTATGAAAATAAATGTCTTGTCTATTAGGCTTTTCAACTTTTCTCAAATTAAATTGGTGCTGCTGAAATGGTTCTGAAAGCAGAGTTCTGAACAGGGCACTCGGTTCACCGGAGCCAGGTGCAAATTAAAGTTTTCGCACAGTCATTTCACGGAAAGAGCTCTTTTTAATTAATTTAATGACTGGCTGATGTATTTGCATATGGAAGTGCACGTGAGGAGAACTTTGTGCACGTGGGTAAATAATCAACTCTTTTGTTGCAGTTCCAAATTTAACAGACCTGCTGCTCTCGGCTAAGCTTTCCTTTTGGCTTTGATGGTGGGTGCATGGTGGATGCCATTCCCCACTAATTATTTTAACAGCATGAAAAGAGCTACTCGCCCGAGTGCTAAAATAACTTCTTTGCCACCCCCTGACAATTTCCCTGGCAGTTGCCGGAAAAGAAAGCTCAGTTTCCTTGGTATTTTCAGTCCGTAATCCGCATAGCTTATCACAAATTCCAGGCATAACTCTTAACAGAAACGCCGGCCAGTTGGGAGGCAAATTAATGGCTAGATGCGCATTGTTTTGGCCCATCTGCCCCCGAAGGCGTTGCAACACTTTCTGATTGCATTAGATGCTTACAATAATTTTCGGGCAGCTCCACTCGGAATGGGAACGTAAATGGAATATTTTATGCAATTTATTTTGATCAATTTGCACGTCGCAATGTCAGTTTCCTCTTAGGGCGCCTAAATATTCTCCGGGTATTTTGTGGATGCGTTCGTGCGTGCTGCGGAATGGAAATTTCCGAATGGAAGCCACAGGCTCTTCTCTGTTATCCGAATATTTTTGAGCAAGTGCAAAACCTAAAAACAATCATTGTGCAAAAAAAATGTTGCCACTTGCAACATTTTATGGGAGAACTTAAAAATGCCCATTAAAAAGCCTTCGATTTCTATTATTTTGCTATTAAATTTGAATTGAAAAGTTTTTAAAGTGACAACAGCTTTGTAAGGTTTACTTTTTTAATTTTAAAAGTATCCGCTGCGAACTAATGGAAAAGGGACCAACCATGCGTGGGATAAGTTCTTTCAACTTTCCGGAATGGAATGTGTATATTAAACCCATTTGCAGCCCACCTCATTACACACTAAAAAAAGCAATCGAGCATCAAATTACAAAGAAAATAAAATGCAAATAGGTTTTTTCCTTTACTCGCAGGTTCTTCTTTTTTCCCGGAGTGGGGTTTGCCTTTTCCCATCCAGTTCATCCCTCGGACGGAGTTCCAATTTCATGCAGCTGACCACGGACCCTGTCGGGCCCTGTAATTGTAATTGCCGAGCTGGATTGGAGTGGATTAAACAATTTCCACATTTAACATGGCGCGCGTCTTTAACCTTTGCCACAATAAATTTTTCTGGACTTTCCTCGTTGTTTTCTCGGTTTTCCCGGCTGCTCCCCACCCGGGGCGGCTTAATTTCGGTGTCGGCGATAAGAATTTTTAGCGACGCTGTCATTTGGGGGCTTTGGCTTTTACGACGCGGCACAAAGGACGCATGTCCTTGTTGTGCGTCTCTAATTAGATGCTTTGCCTAATTAGTCGGTTTTATGTGACGCTCTTTATGCCCCTGGATTACCTTTTGGTTGCAGTTTCAGCGAGTCAAGAAGTCGTTCTTTTAGCTTTCGGAAAAGCTGCGTCGTCAATATATGTATGTGGCATACAGATTACGCAGAGAGCGGAGAATGTTATAAACTTTAACGTTTATTAAAAATTCCAAGCGCCCAGGAAAATATCCACAGGATCATGACAATAATGTGAGCGAAAGCAGCGCGTTTGCTGCTGATTTTCGCAGCTTGAGATTTTCCATTTTTCCCATCATCCGGCTTCGGCGGCTTCCCCCGTTGGGTTTTTCAATTTCTTACGGAACGAGCAGTGCATTCCTTCACCTGGCCGTCTTTGATGCGTTATATGACAGGAAGATTGGAGGGCGGTAAGAGCAGCAACAGTTCGCCCGGAGTTCCATATGAACTCCGAGTTCCAGCCACTGACTGGCCCCTCAACCGAATTGAACTTGTCACAAAAGAATTCATTTTGCAGAGCTCGGAATGTTCCGGCTGCTCGGGAGGGACCGGGTGTCGGGGAAAATGTGCGTTGAAAAGCTTTGTAAGGTTTGGCTCCCTATTCTTGCCCCTTTTGTGTTTCGCACACTGTCCCTTATCCAACGCTCCATCGGTTCTGGGTTCGTTAACTGGAATTCAATAAATATTGCTAAAACACTCGCATACGCATTCGCCTTTTTCTTGCGTTTTTATTGAGAAAAGGGGGTGAGACAACGGCAGATGGCAAAGGGAAAAAAGCCAGAGCAGACATTTTCACATAATTTCCCCCATTTGTGATCCACTTTTAGAGCCAACTCGCAGTTCCCCCCGGGGCTGAGTACATTTTGGCCTATTTTATGACGCGTTTTGTTACCAAAACGAAAATTTTTGGTAGTACCAAGACATTTAATTGCCTAATTGTTTTGTTTTTGGCATTTTATTGCAGGCGGACTGGTTTTTATGGAGGAGCCAACCCAGCACGCCACTCTTTTTATGACTTAATTACTTAAATGCGTTTTATTTTGCATGCGGCCATAATCGTAAACAAATTATACAAGTGGAAATTATGATATCTTTTCCACTTTTAATGCGAGCCCTGGGGAAGAGATTATTCGATGTATTGTTGCTTACTTTCGATGCATATTATATGATCTGAAGCGAAAAAATTCATAATTTAAGCCTCTATCGCCAGAACTGAGATAATTAATAAAATGGATTTACATCCTTTGCACAAGAGTTCATATTATTAATTCCACTTAGAAAAAACAAATAAGTACACCATATTTGCACAACTTTTCCTCCTCCATTTCATCTTTTCATGAGTAAACCCCCATCCTTCGTGGTCTCATTATAATTTAAATTAACTGAATTTGCTTTATTTGATTTACCTGGTTTAGTGTTTCAATGCCTTTCTGGCCCATTGAGGATTTGCTGCTCCAATTGTGGAAAAGCCAAGGACGTAGGCAGGAGGCCTTCCGAATTTATTAGCCAAGTTGGGCTCGGGTTCTGACCCTAAAGGGTGCCTATCCCATCCGAACCCCATGCTATCTGGTGGTGGCCATGGTTTCCTTTCAGCTGTCTCTCTTTTTATTTTCTGAAATTAATGCGGCAAACACTAATTAATTGCGCAGGTGTTGCAGCTGTTCTGTAGCTCTTGTTGTTGCTTGCGGTGTTGTTATTGCATGGGATAAGCCTAATTGAATTTCTGTAGCTTTTTGCTAGGCTTGCGAATTCAGGAACGGGAGATCCTATCTCGCCATTGGTTATAATTAATTACACAGCTGCCATTATGGGAGACCGGTTGCATTTGTTATCTTTAAATTATTGATTTTTATCAGCAGGAAAACAAAATAATTAGGACAAAATAGCGACTATACTTGATATTTCAATTTATTGACTAAAACGATAAAGTGGTAAAAATAAGGGTTAAAAAAATATTGATAAAAATAAACAATAAAATAAATGTTCTATTTAAATCAAAATCAACTATACCAACTTAAGCTAAGTTTTCCATTTGACCTGTATAACGAAAATAAAAAGGTCTAATTAAAATTACAAAAAAAGTTATCAATTTCAGATGGTCTTGGGAATTTCCAACTAACCTGCAGAGAATCAAATTGCGGCCTAAGTAATTCCCAAAGTGTTGATCGTAATCAAATTCACGCTTTGCACTTATTTAATTGTTTTTCTTTTTAATTTCTCATAGCTAATAAATTGACTTTTATGACTGGTCATGAGAAGCTCGTAAAATTTGCATATGACTGTTGGCAGAGCTTTTTGCTGTAAGTCGGGGTCCTTCAACGGCTAACGGCATTATTATTATGTCAACGTAATGTTGTCGTCAAATAGTTTTTCGCGTGACATTTGCATTTCAGTTCGGTTGAGTTGAGCCCTCGGGTCCGATGACATTTCATTAGCCGTTGCCAGTTAGTTCTTCGGGCACATAATAACGTGTGCCATTGTTTTTCATTGTCGTTTTATGTGCTGTTTATATTTTTATGGCATGCCATATAGTATTTAATATTTATATTATATATGAACCTCATGCGACAGTCCCTCGTCCTATCATGTCTGCGAATAAACCGTTTTATTCCTTTCTTCTTCAGGTAACTTTTAGGGACAGCGAACAGCTCTCCATCTCCCTCAACTGAAATCAAACTACTTGAGGAGCCACCCGCCGCTTCGTGTTTGCAGTTATTATTGTCTATAAATCGTCGGGAGGAGCCCGATAGGAGCAGGAGCCATATACACGATGACATTATGAATTTATTACTATTTAAATATTTTACTTCTGTTATGGCCCTGGTAGGCGACGATGGGCCGCAATAATCGTTCTGACATTTTGTTTTGCCTGGCGTGCGTAACTATTTACGAGTTTCCTTCGGTAACTTTTGTCTACGTAAAGTCGAGGCCCATGGCACGGGTATATAGTTTGAGTAGGTCATGAATTATCGATGCTGTCAGCAATAAATATTGATAAAATATATGATCCAAAGTTCGGGCACGTAAGCATCAACTTTGGTAACTGCCTCTATTACCATAATTTAATAATTCGGGCAGTTAGGCCACTTAAACGGTTCCGCTTAAACTCATGCATTAATCTACATACATCTGCAATATATCCGAATGTCACTTTAAATATTAATCAGCCAGACATATCTGTGCTACAAATTAATCAGCAAACCAGTTCAGTCTCATCGCTTGGACTTGAGATTTTGAGACTCGTTTAAATTTTTAGACTTTGATACCGGCACTTGACTTCAAACTTTGCCCAAAACAAACAAGACAATAGAAAGAGGTAGGGAAATACACTCACGAACTTAAAACAGGTTTGATCATTCAAAGCAATCATCTGGTGGCAATTAATTCATACAATGTAATTGTAGATTTATTTTGGTGTTAAATCAAATTAGGGCCTAACAACAAAATAATTTTTAATGACATTACGACAATGACTAAGAAATAAATTGGTTTGAGTATTTTAAAATGATTGACTTTCAGGAGATTAGTTATAAACAGTATATGGTTTATACAATTCTATTAAAACTCTAATTTACTTCAAACAAAAATTTTTTTATTGATCTTCTGCCTTAATGGACTCAATTGATTAAATTTATTTTTTATTGACTGATTCTGTTTTAGTCTTTTTTAGCACATTGAAAATTGGCCACTCATGCTTGGCCAGCAGTTTTTAGAATTTCTACGACTAAAGAAAAAAATTTACATTTATATAAATATGGTAACCACCAAACTTTTATAAAGATGTAGGGCCGACAAATAATATTAAAATATTGCAACTTAAGTTTTAAATACCCAACCTTTAATTGATTATCTTCTATTATAACCAACATTTATTTGTTCTTATTTGTTTGTAAGTAATAGACAATTTAGTTTCTACCTTTTTATAGCCATTCGAAAACTACCCACTCATGCTTTGCCTGCACTTTTTTTAACACCTCCATAAAAACCGACGTAAAATTGTATTTCAAGCCTAAGGTTTTGGGATTTACGACGAGTATTGTTAAATCAAATTGGTCGACGTTGACGCTTCGCTGAGCACTCTGACCCTTGGAAAGTACAACACTTTTTTTAATCGGTGGAAAATCTGAAATTACAATTAGCACTTACATTATGGAAAACAAATTATTTTAGCCTTATAATGAGCTCGAGTCTGGGGCATTAAGGCCAATTATAGGTACAATGGGAACCGAAATGAACTTGCTTCATTTACTGAGTCGGGTATCGGCACAAAAAGTGAGTCAGTATCGGGTTATCGACGAGATCGCAGGGGCTTGGACAGACCAAACCAAACACCGAGAATCATTAAAACGGCGATTTAAATAAACTAACCGATATATGGACGTGTGTATATGTAATTGTGATCAGCGGAGTAGAGCGAAAACAAAACGCGATAATCAAAACAAAACTCTAGCGAAGCTGCATTCGGATTGGTATAAAAGCCAGATGCTAACAGAACAAAGCAAACAGTTCCAATACCAAAGGGTTCCCAACCACATCTCAACCGGCACCATGAAGTTCCTGCTTGTCCTGTCTGCCATTCTAGCCATTTCATCTGCCGTGAGTGAAATGAGCGATTTAGTGGTGTTATATATTTGACATATTTTGTTTAATATAGGAACTGCAGCTGTCCGATGAGCAGAAGGCGGTGGCCCATGCCAATGGCGCCCTTTGCGCCCAGCAGGAGGGCATCACCAAGGATCAGGCAATCGCTCTGCGAAACGGAAACTTTGAGGACAGCGATGCCAAGGTCAAGTGCTTCGCCAACTGTTTCCTGGAGAAGACCGGTTTCCTGATCGACGGTGAGGTCCAACCCGCTGTCGTTCTGGCCAAACTGGGTCCCATTGCCGGAGAGGCCAACGTCAAGGAGGTGCAGGCCAAGTGCGATGCCACCAAGGGAGCCGATAAGTGCGACACCGCCTATCAGCTATTCCAGTGCTACTACAAGAACCGCGCCCACATCTAAGCGCACACCTTGTGAATTTAATATGTGTGATAATCTGTCTGTGACCTGTTACTTATTTTGTTTCGACCAAGCGTATCCTATGAGAACACCTTGTTAAGATCAGTTAACCCTTTGAATAAAATATTAGAAAATGTCTTAAAAATATAAGTTTATTTTTTCCTAAGCATAAGTGAAATATTCCTTCAAAACATGTGCGGATCCATGGGGAATTTTTGCAGATGAATCCTGCCCACCCCAAAAAAACGAAATGAGGTATTCAAAAAGTATGCAACATTAAATTTGTTATACATAAGTCCTAATACTGCCCCTGCTTTGATATAATAAAATAAATAACAGAAAAAACTTACCAAATTGATTTAATCAAAACTATAAATTATTATAAGTACATAATTGTTAAAAAAAATGTACTGTATTTTCAAAGCTAAATAATGAATAAGTAAGTAAATAATCGTAAAAATAATATAAAGTAAATACTAATACACTTTAGATAAATTCGCACATTATTGATGTAAATTGACAATTGTTAGAAGTTCTCGAAACCGTATTAACCAAAAGTCTTTTAAGAACTTTGAAGTCAAATAACTTTTCCAACTTTGACAACCCTCCAATGCCGACGCCCCTTTTCGTATCTCCGAGGAAATTAAGAGCGAAATTCTTATACATTATTACTTATGCATATTCGAGTTGTCAATGGATGCTCCACTGTATGACCCATTTGCGTTTGGGCCGTGGCCACGCACCCATTTGCATAACAGTGGGCCATCATTAAGGACCACTGTCAGACCGTCGTCAGGGGCTTAAGTCCTTGGCCCGAGCACCGATCCCAGAGGCATTTGCCCGCTCATGCTCGGCATAAATATTGATGAGCGACGGCAAACTTGTTCGCACAAAGACCGGGATCCCGAATCCCGAGCAAATGAATTGGACACATGGAGCCGTGTTTTTAAAAGCCCAAATCCAATTAACAAATCATTAAACATTCATTGAGCACGTGTCGCAATTGCATTTACCGGTTAAGCCTTGTTCCAGGTAGGTAGGACATAAGGGACAATGGCTTTGGCTTTGGCTTTAGCTTTGGGGACTTTGGATCGTAGCCAGGGTGGACTTGGCTTGGCGTCCATAATTCATTTTGTCACTTCCTGGGGACGGTCTGGCTGTCATGTCACTTCCATTTAGCATCCGTTTCAGTTGCAGTTGTCTGCACAAGAGCTCGGCCGGCAAACAATCACTGATGCGTTTACTAATGTCTATTAAAAAGGCAGCCCAATCGACTGTTTCCACCCCCCAGGCTAATGCATTTAAGTAGACAGCCATGGCGGCTTGTCAAAGGAACCAACACGCGTGAGATGCTAGCACATTGATGCTCGACATCAGCCTTTGTCTTGGCCGTCTTGTTTGACTTGTCTTGCTCCCGTTAGTTGGCTTTCAATGGACTAAGGACGAAGGACTGAGGACCACAATCGCTGGGGTTGGGTGGGTTTGATTCCCGATACTTTGAGGGGGGTTCGCCTGCGGTTCTCACATTAATGTAATTTAATTTTATAAAAACTTCGCTGCAGGGTGGCTGCCACTGTCTTGTTTCATGCTTCGATGTCTTTCGCTCTTTGTCTGTCCATGTGGAGTTGCTTTGATCTTAAAGACCAATATGTGATGTGGCTGGGGATGTTGCGGTTGTGTTCCTGATTATCAGCACAAGACTGTTATTAGGTCCGTCAATTAGAGAGCACCAAAGGATGCTGGAGTTAAAGTAAACCAGTTGGTGTGGTTGAAACTAATGTAATTGAATTGGTTCGCCAAAGAGCTGGCAAAATAATCAGATAGAAATACCATGACAGTATTGATGGGTTTTTAAACGAGGATAATAACCAGTTTTTTATTTACCACGCAACATCGACATTTTTTATAGCAATAGTTTAAAACATGACTATATCTGTAATCTAATTAGATTTAAGATACAACGTTTTATACACATTTTTTTAGATGTATTTTATGAAAAAACTTTCATTACTCGCGAAAACAAATTAGTCAATAATTACTATTATTATTTTAATTGAAATTGCAAACAAAGTGGAGCGAAAAAAACTGAGAATATACCTTGTAATTGCCTCGACAGTTTTTTAAGCACCTTTATGGAACGGCACTAAAATGTTTTGTAGATTCATCTACCAAATTGAGCTTGACATTTGTGTGCCAAACCATTTTCTTTTTGCGTAATTATAGTGGCCATAAAACGAGCACATCAAATGTGATGAGGGTTTTTGGCCGATGCTAATTTGAATTCCCACCTGAAAATGCTTTTGGCAATGCACTGAGGCATGGGACATTATGTGCGTTTGATCTGAAATTGTATACCTGATGGGTCCAGCCAGTCAGGCGTAAAAATGATTTGCCAATCGATTTTGGCAGCAATTAAATAGCAATTAAAAAGGAGATAGGATCCATTTAGATGTCTCTATAAAAGCAGTCTGTTAAGCCACGACAGGCTCTATAGTTCAAAAGTTTTTTTACGCCAAACAATAAACGTTTTTAAAGTTTTCCTTAGATGTCTGTTAGAGTAAACATTCTGTTCTTGCTTTGCCTGACTCTCAGTGATCTTCTGCCAGTAGCATGGGTAATTTTAATATTTGTAATACTTGGATTGGATTAGGATTAAAGATAACAAGTACCATATATGTAAATATTTACTTTTTCACAGACCCGATCGCTGACCGTCTCTCTGAACATGTCCATGACCCGAACCCTGGTGCCAGATCCTCCAAATGGAACAGAGAACAAGCTTAGTCAGGATATGCTAAGGTCTTGCATGCGAAAGACGGAGATCTCAATGTCACAGCTGAAGCTCTTTCACATGAGCCTGATGAACAGTGACTACACCAACGATAACGACGTGGCTCCGACGCCAGTTCAAACGATGGGCGATGTGAACAACCTGGGCGATCTGGACTTTAATGGCAACTCACAGATGCCCTTTCTCGATCTCAAACATAATGAGCCGCTTCAGTGCTTCGTTAGCTGCCTGTACGAGACCCTGGATTTGGATAGGTACAATGTCCTGCTGGAAGAGGCCTTCAAGAACCAGGTGCAGACGATCATTCAGCACGAGAAGGCCGAGATTAAGGAGTGCAGCGATCTTCAGGGCAAAACGCGTTGCGAGGCGGCCTACAAGTTGCATCTGTGCTACAATCACCTGAAAACCCTGGAGGCGGAGCAGCGTATCCGCGAAATTCTCGAGCGGACAGAGGCGGAGGGCGAGGGATTTGGACCGGATGGCAACGACTTTATCGACGGCATCCAGCACTCGGGCGAATCAGTAACCACAACCAAATCGGAGTAGATAACTTTAGATCTTTGCGTTACATTTCTTATCGGTGTTTGCTTAATCGAAAATTCAGAAATTAATCCAATGAGTGTATGCCAACAAGTAATTCAATTCAAACATGTCTTATATTTGGGCATTGTAAAACTTTAAATAAATTGTCAGCAAATTAGCAATTATATTTAAAAACACTAAACTTTATGATAGGTTTAGTAAGTTTAGTTTAATTGGTAATATATGTACCTACATAGCATCAGCAAGCATAAAAACCTGAAATTAAAAGCCCTTTAGATGAAAAGCTATTTGGAAAATAATAAAGCCCATTTTTAGGATTAAACATTTTTCTATGAATATTAAATATTTAAAGAGCATACTTTTGGGATGACGTAGTAAAATAAATGGTATTTATCTAAATCAGCGGTCGGCAGCGCCCTATTAAGTGAGCATAGGGTTTTGTTCTGCCGGCGCGTCGCTCGTACATGTATAACGTAGAACAGCGGTCTGCACACACACATCGATGAGCTGCCCAGTGAAAATTACTCACACAAATATAAAACAAAATGTCAACGTATGTGTGTGCCGACCGCTGATCTAAATAGTTATGAATGCATCCAAAGTGTGTTAAAAAACCTTTTATAAAATTCCTAAAAAATATATTTTTAACAGGTAAATATAAATAAAATGTACTTATGCTTATATATAAAATACATACCTACATACATTATTGCAGGCAAGGCAATATGTATTTTTCTTGGACAACAATATCAAACTACAGTATCCTAAAAAATCATCCATTTGGACAACAAAAATTGGTAAGGAATCTACTGGGATGCAAAGAAAAAATTCTTATTTTCAAATAAACTAAAATCGAAACTAAAAACAAATTAAAATAGGCAACGCACAACCAAGCTAAGTAAATAGAGCTACAATTAATGCTCGCTGACCCGAAAGATATGTTGAGGCGTGAATGATTTGACGCCAGCTGGTTAAAATGTGAAAAAGACCAAATGGTTGAGCAAATTAAAAAATTATATTGTTCAAATGTGAATAATATTGATAATTGAATTTTAATAATTATAATAACTTAATTGGTACAACTTAGGTATTCTGAAATTAGATCATTTTTCAAGTATTTAAGCCAAACCGCATCACACAGAATTCAGTTAGACAGTGAAGATAGCTTTGTGAAGATGAACTTTAACTACTTGGCGGTGGTACTCTTAATATTCGCTCTAAGCGAACTGGCAGCGGTGAGTTGTCAGCGTATACACTTTTTCAGGATATATATGTATATTTTTAAAATAGGGTCAGAATGCTGCTGAATTGGCAGCCTACAAGCAAATGCAGCAGGCTTGCATCAAGGAGCTGAATATTGCTGCCAGTGATGCCAACTTGCTGACCACGGACAAGGAGGTGGCGAATCCCTCGGAGTCAGTGAAGTGCTATCACAGCTGCGTCTACAAGAAAGTGGGACTCCTCGGAGACGACGGAAAGCCCAATGCCGATAAGATCCTCAAGTTTGCCCAGCTCCGTTTCAGCAGCCTGGCGCTTGACAAGCTGAAGGCTCTGCTTACCAGCTGCGGAGCCACCAAATCAGCCACCACCTGTGATTTTGTCTACAACTATGAAAAGTGCGTGGTTAAGGGAATTAATGCATAAAGGACAGGGAAATCCCCTTCCTGCTTAATACAATAAAGTTATTTTGAAGTGTTCAACGCACTCGACGGTTAATTGTCTGGTTGGGGGCCTCATGCATTTAATTATGCAAATTGAAAACGTCGAATGACCTGGCACCCACATGAATATGGATTAAAAGCGGTTTACGCGGAACAGGGCTTGAAATCCCCAATTAAGCTGCGGCAAATTTTGGACCCCAGCCTACAAACGCAAGCTGGAATACTCGTTCAAAGCGGGGTTTAAATGGAAAACAAATTGAACAACTATACATTCATACGTAGAACAATGATAAGCACAAAATTAAAATATGCTGAATTAATGCATAAAATTTTAAAGGAGAAGTAATTACTTTAGAAATTTAATAATTGGTCAGTTGTCTTTATAATTTTATAATTTCGATATTTTGCAGTGATACCAATACTCACTCTGAAAACCTGTCTTAGAGTATTTAAACCAAAAATAAAATTTCATTCGACAAAGCATTTATTCAAATTTAGCACACAAATGTTTAAATAGTTTAACTGTTTTTTTTAGTGAATCACAATTTGCCAAACTTCTACTCCCGAAAATCCTTAAGCCTTAACCTCCTTGGCAGGCTTGAAGGTCTCGAAGCATTCGTGCAACTTGACGGCGGTCTCGCACTTGTTCTCGCCCTTGATGGACCTGCACTTCTCCAGAGCGGCCTTGGTCTTCTCCTCGCCGATGAAGGCGCCCAGCTTCTCCAGGACAACGGACTCCTGCAGCTCACCGTCCTTCAAGGTTCCGACCTTCTCGAAGAAGCAGTTGGCGAAGCACTTGATGTTCTCGGTGGGGTTCTTGAAGTCCTTGGCCTTGACCTTCTCCTTCTCCTCCTCGGTCAGGTTCAGTTCGGCGGCGCACTGTTCGCCATGCTGCTTGGCCAAAGCCTTCTGATCCTCGTTCAGTTCGATGGGCTAAAATTAAGTATTTTTAAAGATTGATTAGGAAAATTTGTTATTGAATATATCAATATCAGAGTAGATATTTTGCTTAGAAAGTTCAGTATAAAATCAATAGCCTCTATAAGTACCAATGTGTTTTTTTCTGAATAATCAATAAATATTCGATTTTGAATATTAATTGAAATTCAGGAGTCCTCTTAACTTTTTAACTTGAAATCAAACTCACCGAGGCAACAGCCAAAGCCACAAACAAAGCACTCAAAGCGATCACGAAGTAGGAGTTCATGTTGAGAATACTATGACTTGCTAGAACGTTTGGGGAAGTTCTGATATCGGTCTGGATGTGATCGCGGCTTTTATACCCGCATTCGCGGCCAATAAAAGCCGGTTTCTCTTTATGCCCCCGGGCAATGATCCATCTAAGCCCAGCTGATGGCTTTGCTTTTTGTTTTGGTTTTAGGTTTTATTTTGTATTTTGTACCTCTCCCATTTCCTTTGGCCTATCTGAGGTTTTTTATTTTGATTTTTTTTCTAGTTTTTGCCATCTTGGCGAGTACTTTCGTCTATTTGTGGCCTGCGGCCAGGTAGACAATCCAAAGTTATGGTCGCTATGAAAGCATGGTTCATTAAACCGCCTTCTCCTTCTCATTCGCCTTCTTCGGCCGGGGAATCGAATCAATTATACAAATAGAACGCAGACGTGGTACAGACAGGGACGCCTCAAGTGGTCTCGAGATCGTAGGTCGCTCGAGTTACTCGTACAGCCGCAGACGGACTTCGGACTCACTCATTATCGCGGCACTCTATCAAAAACTTTCCACCGTTGATGCCAGCCCCCAACCCAGGTGGCAGATCCCAGGCCAAAGCCAAAGAATAACCATCCGACAATGCCCACAGTCGGATTCGGGTTCTGATTCTGATTCAGATATATATCCAAGTATCTGGGCGGAGAGGTGTGGCGCGTATTGAAAGTTGAGAAGCGCAAGGAGACAGACGACGACGACGACGGCAAAGTTTTTTCATTTGAATCCTATTATTTCAGCGTAGTTGTAATCTTATTATCCACGAGATGACAGCAAAATGACATTTAGAAAATTTCACGCTGTGTGAAATGTACAAAAAGAAAATACGGGAATGCAGGAAAGTCAGCCAAGCCAAGCCAAGCCAACCAGTGCGTGTGGGTGGTGATGGAATCGAGACGGAGTCGGAGAGTCGGATCCAAAGTCGTGGCCGGGATCCGGAGTTTCTGATTGGGACTGCGTACTGCGGCCAGCCCCCGCTTTGCCCCCTTCTGCTTTGGAAAAACCTTCGTCTACTTCTTTGAGTCGGGCGTGTTTTTCACAAGTTTTCCACTGACTGCTGCTGCTGCCTGTCGCTGCCTTCCTTTTAATTTCAATTCTGACATTTGTTTGTCTGCTGTCAAAATAAAGTAGCTTTGGCGCAAAAGAAATAAACCATAAGATTGCGATTGAAAATTTTCCAACCCACAAGCAGCCACCCATCCGCCCAGCATCCCTGCAACCCAAGCCCCACCCCCTGACCACCGAGTAGCTGAAACTTTTCGCTCTGACGCAATAATAATAATAAACTAAAGCTTGTTTGACTTCTCCGCAAATTCTTTGAAATCCTTGTGTGGTAATCTTAATTCAATTTGCTTGTGGTGGGGACAGTCGACTCGGGTGATAAACTCTGGCGTTACACATGCAAAGAGTTTTTGGTTGGGTCTACGGAGAAACCAGGAAATTTAATCTGAAAACTTAATCATAATAATGATTTTATAGCATAAAAGCATCCTAAAAATGTTGACAGGTGGGAATTAGTTTTTAGATTTATTTTCTTGAAATGTAAACAAAGCGAAGAGAATAAAATTCGTATGCTTATCTAAAGATTCTAAATTCTAAGTTTTGTGAAGTTTTGTTTCGGAGCTTGGTAACTCCTTAGAGTTTAAAAGATTAAATCAATAATTAAATAATTAATTATATTGATGAAAGCTTTTTGAAGAGGTTAACAAATTAAAAAAATTTTAATTTAAAATTTAAAGAAGTTTAAACAATTTTTTAAGCGAGTTGTTGTTGTCGTTCACAAATTGGTATGCAAACAGGATTAATTTTTCAGCATTCCTTTTTTTGTGAAAACTTTCCGGAATCATTTACCAAGCTAAAATGTAATATTTGTGCAAGCTTATTTCTAATGAACAGGATCTGACATAGGGATGGCTTTCCCTATAGAGCACAAAGCAAAACCATGAAGGGCATAATCAGTCTACGAATCCCCCGCCTCCCCCAACGCCGCCCCTTCAGCTAGAAATTAAGTACAATTTTCATTTTAAATTAAGCTGCCATGGCATCCCCGCCGAGCAGTTCCTGCCCGGCTTTCGACGTCATTAATCACCACAGAAGCAACAACATGCTGGCCAAAGAGCATTTGTCAGGGACTTTTGGGTTACTTCTTCGGTGGGGTAGAACATTTTCTAATCGCCCCCCTGCAAAAACAGGCCCACCTGTCTGAGTTTTATTTCTGTGAGAAAAATGGTCGCTAAATTTGCGTGAAAAGGCAAATAATTTGGAATTCCCAGGGGTTCTAAATAAGTAAATTTAAATTGCATTTGTATGCGTTCACAATTTGTGCTTCAACTTTTCTTTTTTGGGGGGCTCTTGGATCAGGGGCTTGTGTGTTTTGGCCACAGAAAGTTTTTGTTTGCGACCGTTGCCGTTATAAATTTGCGTGTCAAAAGCGACGAGGTGAAGGTTTTCCGCTTCTTTTTTTGATGTTTCGCATATGCGGAAGGAAGCTCTCCCCAACTTTTCTTCCCTGCCCGCCTGCTTTTCCGCGTGTCTATGTGTTTGGCCAAATGTTAATGTCCTTATCAGCGCTTCAGCATTTTTACATGTGTCCGCATTTGAAATATGCGGCAATGGCAAATGTTTTTCTGGCACTTTGCATGCACTGCACCCCATGCGAGCGAAAGAAGGACTGGGTATGGGATTTTCTTTCTTTTTGCCGCTCCTGTTGCCGCTTCCGCTGCAGTTGATGTCAAGTGTCAAGTGTCGGACAGTTGAAGTTATTTATTATAACGACAATTACACCAAACCAAAAGCTGGCCAAACAGCTCACGTCAGTGGGTTCGGTGCTCTGCGGGCTTCCTATGGCCATAATTACATTTCCCACGACTCTGGCGGCGAATGGAAATTAGAAAATGCCGAAAAGCGGAAAAGGAAGTGAGCGAACTTCGCTTCGTTGGTGTGCCATGTGAGTGCTTTGTTATTGCCTCTGCCACGCCCCCTTCCATCAGCACACACACACGCCAAGTCCTTTTATCGGAATCCTGGATCCATCGTCTCAATCGAAATCACCCTGCCCCCCGGAATCGGTGAAATTTGCTAATGTAATGATGCTTAAAAGTGTTTCAAAGTATTCCATTCCTTTGCCTTGTTTATTTTTATTTAAATGCCAGCATGTGTGGACCGTATCTGTGTGGGGGCGTTTGATTGAATTGAAAATGCTTTGCCAAAAAATTTCCATTCGCCTTCGATGGCTGTCTGTTCTCGTCTACGAGCCCGCCCTCTCTTTTCGATCGTTTTGTATTCAAGGGTTGAGGCACGTTGCGAATAATTTGCTAAATGGCTTAAAGCAAGTGACTGGCCGGATTGAAATGCTCGAAAGCCGCAACAACATTAATAGCCGGTCTGGACTTTGAGTTTGATTTTGGCAAAATCTCTGTTTAGAGTTACTGGGGAACTTTCGCATGGCACTAATGTTGTTGTTCTATCTTTATTGCTAGCAATAAAATTTACATTAACTACCAGAATGAGTAAGACGTTTTTGGGAGGGAATCCCAATTTAAATTACCTGAGTTGTCACGACAAAAAACGTAATATGTTTAATTAAATGGGTTTTCTATAGCTTATCAGCTGTAGACCTCAACTGACCCCCATTAAGTTTACTATCTAATTAGGTTCGAAAAGTCTAAACAAGATTACAAGCTCAAACAATGGAAGATTAATGGGGAACATGATAAATACATAGGTATGTGTATTATTCTCAGGAAAATATAACTTTTATTTAAAAGTATTATTTTACTCCTATCACAAAATCCTTAAGAGCAGGCAATAATCTGGAGTT